ATAATACCTCACCCAGTTATTTTGAGAATTGAATGAAAACGTTCACAGGAGAAAAGTGCACAATATCTGACACACAGTAAGAAAGGAATACATTTCAGCTTTTTTCCTCTTTGTCATTTCCATAATAGGACAACTCTGGAAAATTGTAAATAGCTTTTTAAAAAAAAAGTGTTCTCCTAAAATTTAAGGAATGATATTTCCATCAACAACCTCAGCAGAAAAACAGCCATCAATCAGCTGCATCGTTGGCAAAGTATCTCTTGATGCTTATTATCTAGAGGTATATGAGCAAATACCAAGGGCCTGAAAGCAGCCGAAACATCAGGGAGGAGCAGCTTCTGGGGGTGTGGAGATGTCTGTCTTGACCCCCCAGAAGGATACCCTCTTTGTGGAAAGGGACAAGGGAGGCACTACATGTTCTTGCATACTAGGGCGAAGGTGGAGCTTAGATCAGGAGAAGAAATAACATTTATTCTGCCTTGGTGAGTTCCTAGAAACTCTCAGTGAAGGATCTCTATCCTCTCCATGAGGATCCCAGCTATGAGGGACTCTGAACTGTAACTTGGCCCTCAGGCTCTTGGAGGAAGAGGAGCAAAAGCTTAGAAAGTGGAGTTGCAGATTAATGTTAGTGACTGTTTTCAGAGCTATGAACTCTCCAGTAAATAGCCCGAGTTATGCTTTATCTATCTAATATAGTGTATTCCATGATAAAATCTTTTACAAATTCATTTTAATAGCTTTCATTTACAAATAAAATTTAGATGGAATTGATATCTTGGAAAAAGTAGGTTTTTAAAAGATAAGAATCTAGAATATTTCTCTTTTAATATAATTAATGTTAAGCATAAGAAAAAAAGATCCCAGCTTTAAAAAACACCTTTTAACTAAATGTTACTTTTTATATTCATGTACTTAAGATGATTCCAATACAGTCCATACACCTATAGTCTGTCTAGTGTGGTTTTTTTTTGAAAGCTTGTTTAGAAGTAAGAGAGTGTTTACAAGATTATCTGCCACCTCTGTATAATAAAGTCTGGGTTACTGTGAATATTTGCTATATATGTATGATGATAAGCAAGTCCTATGGATCCAATTATTACCTCCACTTAAGCATTCCTCAATCTCATGAAGATCATCAACCTGATTCTTAGCAAGTGTGACAATTTTGAGGTAGTTACAACGAACATGGTAAATTTCCTAATTTGAAAGTGCTTCCTTGTGATAAAAGGACCATGGTTAAGAAATGTGACTTCAAGAAAGACTCCTCATGAAAGCAACTTAGACTATGAGTAGTTATATTTTAACTATAATCTTTACTGATCAAAATGATAAGCAAGATTTCCTAAGTATTTTTCTATGTGGCATACACTCTAATTAGAAAGATAAGTCACGCATACTTTGATAAGAAGGCAAAGGAATTACATTTATTGATTCCCTGTTATATTCTAGGCTATAGTAGTACAAGTGTATAATTTAATCTTGAAGAGTTCTTATGAGGCGGTTGTTAAAAATCTGAATTTATGGGGGAGGAAACTGAGATCAAATAGGTCACAGAGCCAGTGAACTGCAATCTTGAGATTTGAAGCTGAGTCCATCTAATTTCAAAACCCGTTCTCTGAAAAAATTCTATACATGGGAATATATGACTATATAGAATGTACTATCACATCACGTATCCAGCATCACAAAGAACAGGATGTTTTAGATAATATGAGGTATTCAATATAGTTGAATCCTACTACCAGTGCCAATTTGTTTGACATTTGAATCTGATTTCAAGTGGGAAATCAGAAGTTTATGTTTGTGAAAATTGTCTATTAGTATTATTCTGAGTGAGAACTTGATATAGATTCAGTAAATTTTATTTACTGCTATTTCTACCTTAGTCCTGGATAGTTGATGTTGCTGGATAAGTTTCAAAGTACTATATAGCTGTTGAGGAAATTTAAAAAAAGAGAGAGAGAAAATGGTTTTCTGAGTAAAACTAGTTTGATGATTCATACAGACTGCTCAAACTTTGAGCTGGTTCCTATTTTTAGGAATGAAGATAAGAGATTTTCAAATCCTTTACTTGTCCAATAAATATTTTGTTTACAAAATACCTGAAATTGCAAATGTACAGGTAGTAGGGAGGGCAAACAAAAACACTGAAACAAAATGGGAAAGAGCATGAAAAATGTAATGCTCAGCCTTGATCCATCATGTATCTCCACTGCTTCTGATTTTATTCTCCCAATTGTCTTCTGAGGTTTTTAGCAACAAACATCACAAACACTCATAAAGCTGTCCAGCTCTGTTAAAGGCAGGCATAGTGCTTGGTTCAGTAGACTTTCAAAGCAAAATTCTAGACTCTGTCAACACATACTAGGTAAAGTAATATTTTCTCACGCTCATTCTAAATTTACCTCCTCTTAATTTCATTGCACCTCTCTTCCCCTTTGTCAGGCAAAAAGAGAACTTCCGATTTAATAAAAATAATTTAGGCCATTTAAGTCAATAAAGTAGATTTTTCTCTTTTCTTTGCCAGGGTATCTTGGCGTTTAATGATCTCTTTTAGTAGTTATTCTTCTCTGGTATCATCTGACTATTGGGTTTGTTAGTACCTGAATTACAATTGACAAGCTACTCTTCCAGGAAGCCCAGCAAATTTAACATGAAGACTATAAGACTAACTGACATCATGAAATTCCTAAAGAAAGGGCTAATGTGTGTTTATCTCCACATGTGTAAATCCACAGTGTCAAACACCACATTTCCCTTGTGGTAGGGCAAGGTGAGGAGTTGAAACTTAATACATATCTACAGGAGTCTGACTCCACCTATATGCCCTTGGACATGTCTCTACAATGATTCTATATTATCCTCGTTTCTGTTGATCGGGAAATTGAATGAGTTGCCTAAGGTCAAGAGCCTAGTAAATAGCAGAACTGAGATTTGAATTCATGTCTGTCTGACTTTTTATTTCACCATTTGATTTCTCAATGACATGTGGTACCCAGTATGTATTTGTGGAATTTGCATCAGGTTATCACCTCTCTAGTCTATCTAGCCTCAAGAAGGAAAAGCCTGCAGCCTAGTAAAGTTGTAATCCACAATGACCTAAAGGTCAATTGGAATGCCACATGGCATGGTCAATCACTTAGTGTATAATTAATGTGAAATTAAGAGGCAAAAATTAACAGACATACAGAACCAGACTTTGGTAGTAATGAATCTGAGGACAGAGTCTCCACTTTCATTTTCATTACCACTATAGAAAAATAGTAAATAAAGGCAGGGGTAGGATGGTGGTATAAGTGGTAGAAAGAGAATTAGGGGAGATAATCTGTGGATTTATTTGCTACTAAAGTGCCCCTCAAAGGCAGCTTTGCCTGACTGGCATTTTTAACTTTTATTCTTATTATAACATTACCCTTTCATTATAATATCATATTTATATTTTTTATAATTCTGTAGTATTATCTGTTTGAAGAATTTTAGAGCATTAATGTTCAATGTCACCTAAGCCTTCCAATAGAAAAGTACTATATGCCTGCCTGAACATTCTTAGTATCAGGGAATTTCTTATTGATAAAAAAAAATAAATGTTTACTTCGTCCCAATTAAAAATATGCATTCCTACACTTTCTTGAAATTATTCTGTAAGCATGTCTGGAAGAACTATGTGGGAACATACATTCCTAGGCTAGTTCTTTGAATACTAGAAAAATCTTCAATGTTTATCAGCATTTCTGTATCAGAGACCTGGCTATACACAGAGCTAATGTCATATTTGTGTCCCTAGATATATGCACACAATTTTGGTACTTTTTTTCAATTTTAAAAATCTGAAATAAATATGCATTTCAAAAAAATTATGTAAGCTTTTAAACAATTATCACTTAATTAAAATGGGGTCCAATCATATTAGAGCAATTCCTTATCTGTCCCAGTATAGGAGAAATGAGCGAGGTGTTCATTTAGGCCTGAATATCCCCTTCAGTGACTGCAACCCCAGATTTTCATGTAACTTCTTATCCACCCAGGTCCAGTGCATCATAAGAGAGCCATTTTCCAACTTTCCTGTGCTTAAGAGTCACATGGGGTGCTATCTAAAAAGCTCCAGTGACTAGTCAAAAGGCCACAAAATCCCTTTTATCCTATGATATGTTTCGACTTCTTTCTCACAGACATTAATCTTACCATCGCAACAAAACCATCAACTATCACTACCAACTTAACCATGAGTTCTTCAGAGAGCTTAGCAATCACTTGTTTTAACTCCAAATTGTATAGATCTATGTGATAATCTATGGTTATACCACTACTTAGTGGCTGGGTGGAAATGAAGCCAGATCTTTTGATTCTTTCCAAAATAGTAGTTTCTCTAGCATGAATTGGGCTATTATTTTTATATTTAGCTATCTGGTATTTGACATCAGCCATCAGTATGAAGCAAAAAGTCTTCAAAGAAAATTGCAAATGGAATTCTACTCTGAGCTTTAATTATAGAGAAAAAAATAATACTTCATAGGGCAATGTATTAAATAGTGACTGCAAAATCAACTACTCATGAGATACTCTGCTAGGCATTCTGGGATACATGAAGATGAGTAACACATAGTTCTTGCCATACTGGAGCCCACAATCTGGGGGTAAGGTGTTAATCACTCTTGCCAGGATGATTGGGACATTTCACTGAATGCGAAATTGCAGTGTATCAGGTCATCATACTTTACAACACATTGAAGTGCTTCATACTTAACTCCACACAAAGTTGAAACTCCCATTAATGTTAACTGGCTTATTAGCATATGGGGAAAAAAAATCTCTCCATGTGCTGAACCAGTGTACTTAAAATTGATATTTAGAGGTCATGGTTGTTTGATATGAGTGGAAGGAAATAATTTGTAGCTGCTGTTATCATGATAAAAACATGAAATTATCTAAAGTCTCCTATAATTTTCTAGCCAGTTCTTGAGCAATTTACTAATTACAACATAAAAGAAAGGTTTCCTTACTTGTGGTCTCACCGTTCATTTCTTTAAGTTCACTGTTAATTCCAACATCTATGGAATTCATTATTTTGTCAATCTGTGAGAAACAAAAGCCATATAGATAAATTATTAATTCACTTTTAGCATTGTATTTTAAAATAATTTCCATATGCCAGCAGCATATATTCTTGATATTATTGCTACTGCAATACCACAATTAAGAGACTGAGAAAGTTTTAAAAGGAAGCAGACACCTTTTGAATTGCTTTTAAAAATACTAATTATGGGGGCGCCTGGGTGGCTCAGTGGGTTAAAGCCTCTGCTTTCGGCTCAGGTCATGATCCCAGCAGGGTCCTGGGATCGAGCCCCGAGTCGGGCTCTCTGCCCTGCAGGGAGCCTGCTTCCTCCCCCTCTCTCTCTGCCTGCCTCTCTGCCTACTTGTGATTTCTCTCTCTCTGTCAAATAAATAAAATCTTTAAAAAAAAAAATTTCTCTCTCCAAAAAAAAAAAAAATACGAATTATGTTTCCCTTTCTTAAATGTTCAAAATCAGATCCCCTTTTCTTTATATTTCTTAAAATGAACTTTGTTTGGACCTACATGGGTCAGTAATTAGGAATTGTGTATTCTTTAAATTCAGAAAGGGATGGGCTGAGGATAAGTTCGTGGGAACACATCCCTTCTCTCAGGCATTCTTCCTGTTCTGAAAGCATGCAACTCTCTGACTGTTGACGTGGTGGGTTTCAGTCTGTGGGTGTGGCCATTGGAACCAAGGTCTTACTAAATGGCTGGACTAGCCACAAGTTGATTTCTGACACAGAATCTCAAGAATCCAGGCATGGGGAAACACCTTAGTTCTAAGAGATAGGCTAAATGTTAATTAATCCTGCTGCATTCCAAAAAAGGATTGGGTCATTTACAGATGTTATTTACAGAGTTAATAAACATAAGAAAAGGAGAGATTGAGAAGACTATCAATCTAGTAGTACAGTATTTACAGGAAGATATGACTATCTAAGCTTTCACAGTTTATGGTTTAATCCCTTCCTCATCATCTTAGCAACCTGAGTAAGACAGAGGTTCCAGAGAGGACATTACTTAAATGTCCCATTTTGTTCACCCTGAAACAGATGTAGAGAGATTAAGTGATTTTCCTAAATAGCTCAATTCAGAATGTCAATACCAGACATTTCTAGTTCTCAGAATACTGTGGTGACTTATTGTACTTCAAAACCCAATCCACCTACACAGTTTTTTTTTGAGGGAGAAAATGTGACATGTTAGAATGAAATGCTAAGAGACAGTGTGGTCCATTCTTTGAAGAAATTCAAGAAAAGGTAAGAAACTTAATTTAGTCCTCCTTAGAGACAAAGGATGATATTTCATAAACTTGAAAGGACACTTACTTTCTGACTAATTCTATAAAATGAAGGACTTTGTCTTTAAGTATAGCTTAAATTGGTGATACATGACCTCAACATATTTTTTCTTTAATGTCTCTCTGAAAACTGTAAAAGGGAAATATTAAGTAATTTGGGTTTATTATAAGGCACTTGGAGAAGAGCCAGGACTATTCTTTTTCTTTTTCACAATTTTTTTTTTTGAGAGAGAGAGCATGAGCAGTGGGTGAGAGGCAGAGAGAGAATCTTAAGCAGGCTCCATGCCCAGGGCCAAGCACAGCATTGAGCACAATCTCACAACCCTAAGATCAGGACCTGAGCCAAAATCAAGTGTTGGATGTTTAAACAACTAGGCACCCCAAGCCAGCACGTTAAAGTTAAGATTATAAGGAGTTTATGAAAACATAAGTTACTTTAAAGGTGGGAGATGAGCTAACAAAGAATTTAGCAACTAGCAGAATGATACAGGGCTGCAGAAATATGAAGATTTTTCTCAATTTGTCTGCTACAGTGCTTGATAGGACATAATGTGAACATTCTCTTGTACCTCATAGCTAGTTATTACTTCTGCTTGACATCAATTTCTATGGAAACAACAGATTCCTCCACATGTGTGGAATTGTATTTGTTTTTACAGTAGCTGTGAAATTATCATGTATTACCCCTAAAATCCTGCCCTTCCACTTGCAACTGTCTATGTCTGTTAGTTGTTATTGCTGTTTTTGGTTATTTTTGTTTTTTGTTTTGTTTTGTTTTGTTTTTATTTTTGTTTTGCCTCTGAAAGACTTAAAAAACTGAAAATGCTTCCCCCAAACTTCCCATGCTCCAAAGTCTTATATAAACAACAACAAGAAGAACAAGTCTTACTTCTTCCCATTCAGAAGTGAAGGATGGTGTTCTTTCAGAATTCCCTTTAGAACTCTGATCAGCAGTTGAAGATTCACTCCAGTTAACTTTTGATGTTTTCTCATTTGAAGGGTATGCAATGAGATCGGAATCTGATTTAGAAACGGTTTTTGACAAATGCATGTCAATCAGGGCTTTTGGCAATGACCTTATTCTCCCCAAGGTACAGGCTCTCTCCACAAATCCTCCTGTGTTCATAATCCACTGGTCCCCATTCCGGGATCCACTCCTAGTTGTTCTTGTGCCAACAATGGTATGGTTTTCAAGTTGGTTGCTTTTTTTGTGAAAAATTGTTCGACTGACCACTTTGGGTTTAATTTTCTTTACCAAAGTTTCTGAATTATTTGCTATTGGAGACTTCTTGAAAGGCAAAGGACTATTTGCCAAACTAACTTCATCTTGTCCTTCTTCACGTTCATCTCTTTTCCCATAGAGATGAAATGGGTTTTCAGGGCACTCACAGGCTGGAGAGGATCCATGGAGAAGGCCTTCAAATTGCCCAGGATCATATTCTTTTGGAGGATCACTGTCTTCCTGTTGAGAAGGGTCATCTGCAAAAGAGAGGAAAGACATCAGGATGGTTGATTATAAGGACTCCAAAAGCCCTGTTACAACAGCAGTGCCTTTTCAAACTTGTGCAATACCTAGACATTTTATTTGTTGGTACAATGATATCTTCACTTTATGAAACACTCATGATCCTACAGTACCATGTATAAAATGAATTTGTGTGTGTGTATGAACTGGATCTTCCTGACATACCTTACAGTACATTTCAAAGATATGAACTGAGTATTAATTGAGTAATTGTATATTGTTCTTCCTTATTCCCAGATATATTTTATATTGAATAACAAAACGGTTTTCTTAAAGTGAAACACTCATGTCCAAACCCTCACAATAAATGAATCATTGTGTAGTAGGACATTGGGCAGGTAAATCAAGATTATACATAATAACACCCCTTTGCCCTTCTCCCAGCAAATAAATTCAGAAACAAAATCTTTGAAAGAAGTATAATTAGAAGTAATTTAAAGTTTAAATTAAGAAGTAATTTAAAAATAGTGATAATATTACTTTAAATATAAAATATGAAATATAAAATATAAAATAAAGAATTATTCTATAAGTTCTATCATTTAGACAGAAAGGATTTGTTCAGGCTTAATGTAGGCAAACAATGCAGAAGTAATTTAAAAATACTGAGAATATTACTTTAAATATAAAATAAAGAATAATTCTATAAGTTCTATAATTTAGACAAAAAAGATTTGTTCAGGCTTAATGTAGACAAACAATGCAACCCATAATATCACTAAAAAGTGAGATTCTTTTATAAGAAACTGATGTTGAGCTATTAACACAAAGCTCTCTTTTTCTTTCTTCTCTGAAATAGCATTAGTTATTTTTTAATTTCTTCAGATCTTTGAAAGAGTAATGCAGAGGGGTGCCTGGGTGGCTCAGTGGGTTAAGCCTCTGCCTTTGGGTCAGGTCATGGTCTCAGGGTCCTGGGATCGAGCCCTGCTTCAGGCTCTCTGCTCAGCAGGGAGCCTGCTTCTCCCTCTCTTTCTGCCTGACTCTCTGCCTACTTGTGATCTCTCTCTCTCTGTCAAATAAATAAATAAAATCTTTAAAAAAAGAGAATAATTCAGAAAAAAAAATTTATTGCTTTGTAATTTTTTCTAAGATAAAACGTAAATATTCTCTGAGACTTAAAATATACGATGTTTTTGTATGATCTAATTTATATCTTAAAGATATACTGTGTAAAACCCTGGCCAAAGAACTTAGCAAAGGATGTCAGTATACTTTTTTGATTGGTCATTTAGTTCATATAGCTGAAGATTTGCCACAATCAGAAGTTAAATTATGGGATAAGCTCATAACCTAATCTTGTGAAAGAGTCAAAAATAGCCAATGTGGTGGATAATAACAAATCCAAAGCTGACTTGCTGACTTGCACTTTAAGTACATTGGTTATTATTATAAATTCTAAACACCAAAGTTTTCATAAATTAACAAGTAACATTAAACAGGTATGTACTATTTTATAGGCTCCGGATTAGGGGTCATATTTACAAGATCTCATTTGATCTGCATAACAATCCTGTGAAATGATTAATAATAATTACGATTATTTGATAGAGATATAGCTAAAATATTGGATTCACATATTTAAACAAATTGGCAACCATAATAAATCTCAATAGATACTTGCCCAGAGAATGCTACAGACAAACCAATGCTCCTTATTACTCTTTGGTCACAAGTCCCTGCACTGTTCTCTCCCTCATTGATGATTGAGGCAGGTTTGTTCCTGACCTTGCATATCCCCATACCTAACCCTGGTTCCTGTTTGGCTTTCCAAGCAGATGTCCCCCTGCTCAGACCTTGTCACCAATGATATCCTGAGACAGAAGAGAGAAGAGTGCTAGGAAGAGAGGTCCAAAAGACAACAATCTAAAGGAGAAACACTGCACCTGCCTAGTACTATAATAATCTCTCTGTCTTCTCACAAAACCTGCATCCCTTTCCATTGTAGCAACACTTTGTCCTTGATTATAACTACTTTTGTCCTTCCCTCAAGACAGAGACCCTTCCTGGGGTAGAATAGTGAGTGCAGAGTGAGTGAACGCAGCTCTGAATTCTCACTAAAGCTAGGGTTTATGGTCTTTTATATCCATTTTTTGAAAGTAAAAACAAACATTTAAACAACATAAGTTACTGAAATTTTCCTAGCTAGTTAGAGGTTAAGCTGAGATTCAAACCAAGATCTATCAGATTCCCATATCCACTAGCCTGGAAAATATATTACTATTTAGATAGAAGAACAGTCTAGGGTTCAAAGGCAAAAAGTAGACTCTGTGGGTTGGCATGTGTTTCTCCTATTTATGACTATTCCTGGAATTTGGGATAAGTGAACTACAAAAGTTTTTTTTTTTCTACTTCCACAGAAGCAAGATTATACCAAAAGGAAATAAAACCTGGCATTCTGTTCCAATGAATTTTCTCTTTTTCTTTCCTATGCTACTTGGATTCATAGTGCTTTACAACATAATAGTTTGGTATGGATGACAGTCATGGGTAAGTAATGTAAAAGGAAGGAGGAATTCAGAAATAAGGACGTTTAGAATTTTATTTTGAAAGTTACTATAGAAGTCCAAAGGGTTTGGTTATGAAAAGAAAATTGAAAATAGTCAGCCTATTGTGGGAAGAAGATTCTGCAAATCTCAGTCAAGAGGTTTTTGACCATAATCATGATAAATGAGAGTTTAAAGGGCATAATTTTATTTAAAGTTTTCTGTGAATATTATTATTAGGTTATTATCCCCTCTGTGGTTTCACCAAAATGACTATAATCACAATTTCAAAATGCTTTATATTGTCCAAGTCCTCCAGTGATAAGCAATCACTTCTCTAAGTAAAAGAAAATTTAAGTATTAGCATATAAGCTTTGTCTTTTGAATAATAGTTCTTAGCATCATGATACTTGGTAACATTTTTATTGAGTTATCAAAAGGCAACTATTTACTTGCTTGTTTCAGTGGCCAAGTTCTAAAGATTACTCATATCAAAGAGAATGACAAGTTGGTATAAAAGCTCCCAAAATTCTTATTTGGTGGATTGATGGCAGGAATGGCCCCACTATGCAGCAGCTCCCTGTAGCCATACTCTACTCTGTATCCATTCCTCCCACATGACTCTGGGGATGGCTGTGACTCTGGGGATGGCCGTGTGCCTTGCTTTGGCCAATGGGACAACAGCCAGCATAATAGAAGCAGAGACTTGAAAAGCACTTGTACACTGGGGGCTTGCAAACTTGCTGACAGGTGAACAAGCCCAGATTTGTCTGAAAGATGATGAACTACATTACCCTGCTGTTTGAAATTGTAGGTTTTATTGTTTTTCAAGTATGATGAGGCTAACAGATCAGGAGACAATTGCCATTGAAAAGATAAACTGTTATAGATTCCAAGAGAAGGGAGGATGTCATGCCCTGGGGTGGGGGAAATGGGGGAAACCAGGGTTAGTTAGGAGGCAGAATGAGTAAGGGACTAGGTGGGCCGGAGCCTGCACTGTGATTTCTCCGTGAAGGAGAGGAAGAAACAGGGTAATCAGGTTTAGGATTGGCTAGTCCGATTGGCTAGAATCATTTCAGCAGCTTCTAGAGCTTAGATAGGGACTATCCCTAGTTGTTTGATACCTGGCCCTGGTGTGATTAGGCTGGGTGATAGGTGGCCCTGAGTGTGGTTGGGGTATGGCTCTAGATTGGTTGGTTTGCATATGAAAGGCATGTTTACTATCTCTAAGATATAGCTAGCCCTGGGAGGGGCAGTTCCTCCAGGGTCAAAAGGTCCCAAGATGTTAAAGAATCAAAAACAAAAAACAAAACAAAACAAACCTGAAGCAAAAAGGCGTGGTTTATACATCGGTCATCTCTGTCACCTTAGACGATAGACAACTTTCTTACATTTGAGTGAGGTCATCCATGACCTATCAATCCCAGGCCAATATGCCAACTGACCACCCATGATGAGAAAACCTAGCCAAGATTAGCTGAGGCTGGCCCAGACCAGAAGAAAATACTCCCCAGAATCATGAGCTATATAAATGGCTATTATTTTAAGTTATTGAGTTTTGGAGTGGTTGATATACCATGATTCAGACTGTGTCCCAGTTTTCAGAGAAGAATTAATATATTGTTCAAAATATATTCTCAGGGTGCCTGGGTGGCTCAGTGGGTTAAAGCCTCTGCCTTTGGCTCAGGTCATGATCCAGGGGTCCTGGGATCGAGCCCCACGTTGGGCTCTCTGCTCAGCGGGGAGCCTGCTTCCTCCTCTCTCTCTCTCTCTCTGCCTGCCTCTCTGCCTACTTGTGATCTCTGTCTGTCAAATAAATAAATAAAATCTTTAAAAAACCCACAAAAAACAAAAAAATATATATTCTGGTGATGTTTATATTTTCACTTCTACAAACAAAGATAGTAATAGTATACACCTATAAGTGTTGTGAACTTAATAAAATAATAGAAGTAAAGCAGTTAGAACAATGCAGTGGCATAGAAGACAGTAAATATTATTTCTTCTATTACAATTTTTAATCTAAAGGGTTTCATTTTTACAAATAAATATAGTAGTGATTGTATTAGATACTCAATAAAGATTGTTATTTTGACATAGTAAATATAATAGGATTTACTCCTTTGTTTCTGCTTATATGTTTTGAAAATATACTTTGGGAAGAATTTTTGCACTTTCTTACTATTTTTTTACTGTAACTAGGTAAAGTATATAGATTAAACTGTTTTCATAACTTGTCTCATTTAATTTCATACTTCTCTTTTGATAAGTGGATATTTCATGCTAAGGTACAGAACTAAATATGTGTGAATTCCAATCTGATAGTTACTCAAAGCATCCTTGGCATTTCAAAGAAATGTCAGAGAAAGTATCCAATAAGTAAGCATTTCAATCTCTTTTTACCCATCTTTGCCCCGTCTTTAACATATAAATACCTGAATAACAATAACACCTCAAATTTCATGTCAAGA